TCCCCCATTTCTTCCAATTGTTTGTTAAACCCATTTGTTGTATCTTGTTTTACATTAAATTATAAAAATCCTCAATGCAGGATCTTGTGCGTTTGTATAGCAACTAGCAAAACAGAGTCCTGATTTTGATTGGAGGCACTGAGTGTTACCATAATACAAATAATTAAGTAGAGGTGATGCAATAGTATATCTGAGATGGCAATAGGCAGACTTACTGATCTAGGACACTGGGAAAGAGAAAAAGTTCAGGGTTCAGGATATCACCAGGATTACAGTTAGTAAAGAAAAATTGGAGGTTTGGGTCAAGGAAGATGAAACAGGCAAAGAAGCTATTACTTATTTCCTAAATTGTGTGGGAATTTTTAGTGCTTTGACACACTCTAGAAGTCCTCTATTTATTAACAGAGTGAGAATAGCATGGACCACAGCAGAGCAAACTTCTCCATATGGCCATAGCAATTCTGATCTGGATGCGCCATCTCTAGAGGTGAGAGGATTATTCAGTCTCTGTGCCCATTCAATTTTTGGTCTGACAGCTGTGGTACAAATTGCCTTCAACTAGAAATTGGACTAAGAGCAACCTAATTTCACAAGACATCCGTGAGAATTTTTAGTCGTGAGGGCTGACTGTCTTGGGACTTGTAATGTAGAGGTGAAAACTCTGGTCTTGATTCTGAACTCACACCAGTGTAAATTAGGAGTGACCTCAGAGAAGTCACTAGAGCTAAACCCTGTAACACAATGTCATTTCTAATCCCCTGGTCAATCCAGTTCTCCAGGGAATTGAGAATGGTCAGTTATGTTCATATTTCTCCATATTTATGAAAGATGCTAATAATTTTCTTTTGGGGGATGTTGCCACATTAGGTTAAAAAAAGGAGGTTTTAGACCACAATAGAATAGTTTTGCCATTTATTTTAAGAGAAAAGTTATTGTAATGACATAAGGGACACCCGAATTTTTGAAACTTCAGTATTGTATTATGCCTGCATTGCCCTAACATTGCCAGCCACTGGCCTGCACTCTGTCTTTCCATGGGATTAACAAGTACTGCTCATATGTAGTATTTGGTAAGTATGTGCCTGTCATTTTCAGAAAAATACAGGAAATAGAATGAGAATAATTTTCCAGTTTATGATCTCATCTCACACCCACGAAAATTCTTCTGTAACTAGATATTTCTGGATATTTGGGAGTCCAATCCTGTGAAGTGCTGAGCATTCTCAACTCCCATTAACTTCAGTAACTCTTCTTAACCTGTGCATGTATGGCTGAAATATACAGCTCATGTGATTGATTGCCAAAATAAATAAATAAAACATTCTCAGTTCAAGGACTATGTAAATCATGCCACTTATTACTGCAGTTTTCTACTTTTCTAATTTCCTCTCAGTCTGAGCTAGCATCTCTCTAACAAACATTCAGGCTGGATTTCAGAAGGGCTGCATGTGTAATTGAGAATCATGAGACCCTAGCTTCTAGAAGGTCATTTTGATCCTGCACATTGCAGGGTTCAGATAGTCATCCAAACCACTGGTTGGGAAACAGATTTACACTATTTCCTTGGTTTTCAATGATCAAATATACTATAAGAACTTCTCACCATATTTCAGTACTTCAGTCTGTGCAAAATGAGGAAACAGAGTGGAAAACAAGTGTCATAAAACTCTTCTGAAGGACAAGAAATTGTTAGCTTGCATTTTAGATTTTTTTTTAAAAAAAAGCTTAAAACCCTTTCCCTCCTTACTCCCTGCTTTCAAATTTAAATGGTATTTCCCATAAAATATTTTCTTAATAGACAAAATAGATAATTGATGATTAGCAGATTGAGCAGTAGTACTCTCTAATTTTCAGACATGAGAGCTTATACAGATGATAAAGGACTGTGTATTAATGAAAATCAACTGCATCATATTGTTGACTCAAACTAATTTGTGATCCACTATAACCCTCAGATCCTTTTCAGCAGTACTACCACCTAGCCAGTTATTCCCCTTTTGTAGTTGTGCATTTGATTTGTCCTTCCCAAGTGAAGTACTTTGCATTTGTCTTTACTGAATTCCATCTTACTGAATTCAGACCAGTTCTCCAATTCATCAAGGTCATTTTGAATTCTAACCCTGTCCTCCAAAGTGCTTGTAATCTCTCCCAGCTTGGTGTCATCTGCAAATTGTGTAAGCACACTCTCCACTTTGTAATTCAGGTCATTAATGAACATTAAATAGTACCACACCCAGGACTTACCCCTGGGGATCCCACTAGCTATGCACTCCCAATTTGATAGTGAACCACTGACAACTACTCTGAGTACCATCTTTCAACTAGTTGTGTACCCACCTTATAGTAATTTTGCTCTAGTCCAGTTGTGTAAATACTTTTCTATAGCTTCACCTTAGCAATGTAGTATATGATTTCATCTAACACAATGAAAGAGGCTTATTTCAGTGGTTCTCCAACAATTCCATTCTGTGGATCACTTCATAACAAAGATCACTTTCATCCACTTCTCTCCCCCTCCTTCTCTACGGCGTGGTTCTCAAATGGTTTAATTCTGTAGATCTCTAGAAAGAACTTGGAGGACCACCTGTGGTGCACCGACTGTAGTTCCAGGACCATTGTCTTATACAAAGGAAGTCCATTGCATCGTTCTGAACCACAGCAGCAAATATGAATACCAGTACAAAGAGTAAGAAAATGAATTAAGGCCCAGCCCACGACACATTCTATTTTCTACAAGAGCAGTAACCCCAGATATTCAGCCAAATCCTGCTGAAAAAATCTTTGGAAGTCAGTAAGAAAAGGATCTGAAGTTATTTATATGTACACCTATCTGTGTCTCCTCCTATCATCTTAGAATGCAACTGTATTGAGAAATCACATACAGGACCCAGTGTACCATAGAACTCAAATGAGCATGTGTTGAAACACTATGATGGAAAGAGATATCCTGGATGACAAAGGTAACGTATTAGTACACTCTAAAATATATCAGACTTACATATTTGATATTTTGCATTAAAATTATTTTGTTTTATTTTACTTTTATTTAAAACAAATGTTTGGAGACTGCTCCTCCCCGAGAGTTTAATGGACTGTTAGTCATTACATTGAACAACCTGGTCTCTTTCTAAAAAGATCTTTGTCTTTAGTCTAAGGAGCAGTTTAACATTTATATTTTAGGCTGCTTTGTAATGTGGCTAATTCACAGTTCAAGTACCTGAGAGAAGACTAGTAAGAGAATAGAACAGCCTATAGAAGCAAATCACCACATCAAATTGAAAACAAAGGTAAAAAGATAAGTATTTTGAGAGGCTAAGGGACTATCCCTTCATTTAGTATTAAGCCTTGCTGAGAAAACCACCACAAATCAAACTGCCCTTTTTTTTTTTTTTTTAAAGTAGTTTTGCCATGATTATTTGGAGGGGAAAAAAAGCTAGGAAACAAGTCAGACTCAAATGAAAATGTATTTCACTCTTATACATGCTATACATGTCATGCAAGTGAGGTAATCTACAGGTTATACAATGACACCATAATAAAATATAACATCTCAGGTGACATCTGCCAAACACAATATATCAAGCAAAACAAACATGATTAGTTTGTTTTGGTTTTTTTTTATTATTATTTAGGAAACAACTGTAGGACTAATTTGGAAGACACAATACCATGCTACAGCTTACTGAACAGTCACTAGAAAGGTATTTTGCTGAAGTACACCAACATAAAAAGAACTATTGTTATAGGCATGTTTTCTTTATATACTCACACACAGGTTCATTGGCTACTTCAATTTTTAAACAGTTGCTGGCTTTAAAAGCAGAAGAACGTGGCTACAATTGAGACCAAGCTACACTGTAAACTTCTCTACATATAAAAGTTTCTACTTTTTTGTTAGTCTCCAAACAGAATTGTAGTGACTTTTTTAAAAGATTTGGACAAAAATGTCCTCCAGGCAGCACAGAATATAGGATAAAAGTTACCATAGTTCACCAAAAGAAATAAAACTAACCAAAATACATTGTATGGCACATAATGTCTACATTTTACATTCTTGATATGAATTTTCCCAAATAGATGTTTGTTGAGTACTAAGGAGGCTAATATTGTTATATAGGTGAAAATACTATGTGAGAGAGAGAGAGTGTCTCAGACTTAGTATTTCCATTGCAATATCTGTATATTGTTTTACCGCTGATTATATTTTTTGTTGAGTCTGTAGGAAGACACAAAATAGTTGTCTACATGAATGAAAGCCTGCTGGTATTAATAACTGATCTCAAATAGTTAACTCAACATTTATCTGAACCCCATGACATACTTGCTTAGAACTACTGCAGTTATGGAATACATATTAAAGAACTGTAATGGGTATTATGCCTACATTGTCTACAAGTGTTATATCAAGGGAGTTTTAAAGACTTCAGCAAGAGTCAACCCAAGGCTTTATTAGTACTGTATTAACAAACTGCTTTGTCACTATTGACTTTAAAAAAAAGACAAAATAATCATGTGTGATGCATTGTAGCAGGGGGATAAATCTAACCCTCCACAGTCTGTAAGGAGGCTCCTTTGATTCCAGCAGTTGAATAATTATTTGTTTTCATGCTTCCTCAGTTCTAGTTTTGCAATTATACACCTGCAAAAAAGAGTTGCCGAGAACTCTTCAGTATTTTTCCCCATTTAAAAAAATAGGCACAGAGCTAAAGTACAGTACATTATTTAATTTCAACGCACTGTGGGCAAACCTCATAGTATTTACAAGAAAATGACATCGAGTACTTGTATGATAAAACTGAAGGAAGAATGATTTTAAAATAAAATGCACAGGGTAAAAATCACAGTGAAGTATTTAGATGAAATTTAAATTAAAAAAAAAAGTAGTAAGAGCTTTATTAGCAGCTGAAGCCCAAATTGTAAAGCACAATGAATCTTCCCTGAAACTAATCAAGGCTATAGATTCCTGGCATCTACGAAGAACAGCCAGTTATTCAACATACCACTTGGGAAGACAAAGTTATATTCAGCTCTGATTATGTGAAATCCAGTGTTCAAAGACTGCAGAAGCTCTTTCAGATGACAAGCTCATATTTTACTGCCAGCAGCATGACAGGACGTATATCCTCCATAAATACTTCCTCTGTCAATTAAAAACACACCCAAACAGTTTATGCAAGTAAAATGGCTCCAATTTTTATAACTGAGAACTGATTCTCTTGCAATAAAGTACAATGCTACAATTAACGTTAAGACTATCAGTATATCATACTGTATGTCACTTAGCTTGCAGACTTTCCAGGAAAAGGACTGTTACTTAACTGTCTGTACAATGCTGCGTACATCTACAGCACTGAACCATAATAAATGGCAATCACTAACACATTCCACATTGTTGCATACTTAACTGGTCCTGCTTTTAAGTGTTCTCTCTTTGTTATTAAATTGAAATGAGATATAATTAAGGACTATCATAACTAATAGGGAAGGGTGCATAGTTCTTTCACGAAAAGAGAACACACATCTATATTTTTCATTATACCCTGAGTTTATCACTGAAATGTTTAAGTTAAACAGGTAGCTTCAATTGCTTTAATGTAACTGATTTGGGTACCAGTGCAGATCAACAAAAAGTCTTAAACATTTTATTAAGTACGGACTACTGTCTGTATAATTCACAAATAAAAACACTGTCCTCTGCCAGACACACAATTTACATCTTTAGTTCCGAACTATGCAAGGAGTTCCTGCACTGATGGCTCAACTACCAGCATAGAACCAATCTAGATTCCACTCTCTTTCCACTCCTAGCTGGACACGAGCTAGCTCCCCACTCCTCCTGGCTGTGGTTAGAAACCAGGAGCAGGGAGAGGTAGGGCATGACAGGGGTTCCCATCAGGGACGAAGTGGGGCCAGTAAAAACTTGATAGGAAAGCATACTGGTGTGACCCATCTTTCCAACAGCCCAACAAGCTTCCCTTTTCCTCCATGATGCCCTCCTTACCTATTTATTATCTATAGAGTACCAAGAATGTGCAAGGTGCTTTACAAACTAGTATGAAGACAAAACACCTACACCAAGAAAGTTGCAATCCAAGTAGTCACTGAAAGGAAATTGCAGGAAGATGAATGGGCAAACTCAAAGAGCAAGGTGAGCAAACATTGAGGATGAGACATATCTTGCAAGTTCCACACTTTTCCGATTATCTTTATGTGGGGTTTATTTTCCTTTATTATATTTTTACATCTTTTCCTTTCACATTTTTGTACTTTGTATTGAGGATTCTCATTCATCTGACTAGTTAACAATTAAACTGCAGAGAGCTCTAGAGTTAATAGGCCTTTTGGAACAGGCTGTGTCATAAGGAGATTTTGAAGGTAGAGAGGGTGGATGTATGACAAAATGGGTAAGGACAGAGGCTCCAAGCATACAATCGGAGGCTATATGAAAAGAAGCAGAGACAAAATTAGGAGGGAGCACAACATGAAGCAAACAGTTAGCTGTTCTGCTTGGGCACAGCAGAGGGAGCAAGAAGAGATGATGAAAGGAAACGTGAGTTGAAAGGTACAAGGGAGTAAAGTTGTGCAAGTCCTTGAAGGATAGGAAAAGTAGTTTGAATTTGACACAGGTGGCTAACAAGCTACTCTAAAACCTAGGAAAATGCTCATTCCCCAAGATGTTCAACAGCTGGAATATAGGTTAATCTCCAAGGGTTCACAAGGTTTCTCTTGTGTCACTTTAACTCAAAAAAGTGGAGTAGAAGTGATCAGAGAAAGGAACACTTATGTAATTGGGGAATTCTATCCTAGTAGATTTCAGGAAGACTAAGATTATTTCGTTTGAAAGGGGAAGAGTAAGTAGTATGATAGGGGTATAAAAAAGAATAAAAATGTAGAGAAGGCTGAACATTTACTCCTATTTACCCTTTCCCATAATACAAGAATAAGAGGAAATTAGAAGAGAATTTAGAACTGATAACAGTAAAAGCTTTTTATGTTACATTTAATTAATCTGTGAAACTGTTGGCTGCAGGGTATTCAGGCAAAAAGTTTAGCACATATCAGAAAAGGATTAGAAGATCGTTTTAAAAGAAGAGTAAGAACAGCATCTGTTACCCTAGTATACTAGCTAGGGTAAAATTACAAGGACCATCACTTCTCATACCTTAGGGCTTAAGCTGGTAAACATCTTGGGTCAGGAGGAGTTACAGTTAAGATCTGGAGAGTTCTGCTTTGTTATACATCGGAGCATTCTGAGGGTTTATACCTTGCTCTGAGGGACACTGTTTAACACAGACTGCACGATAAAACAGGATTCAGGACCAAATGGACCATTCCTCTTTTCCACTATGCCAATTCTTACATTCCTAATTAGTCTACTCACGGAAGATTATGCCAAATTTAAATGTCCAGGAGCCTAACTCGCAACATATGCTGCTCGCACTACTGGATTAACCTAAAAAGTGTGCTATGTACACTCCCAATAACTTGTCATAGCTTAGATATTTCTCACAATATTGTACCTTCATCTGTACAACAGAGTCGTGTGGTTGTCAACAGATGGAGTTAAGTGTATTCTCCTGCCCAGGACTGTTAAATCCATCAATCAAGTTTTTGTTACAATCATCCAGGCTAATGTTTTCACTGGATATCTTGGAGTAAGTGGCCTGTCCTGTGAAATCCAAGAGATCTTCAAGAGCCTTGGCATTACTTGTTCCATTCTGGTCCATAGAACCACCGGGAATGAGTTCATTCATAGGTGAAAATTCTGGGATAGATATAAGTTCTTCTTTGGAAACAGGACTGTATGGAAGACAGAAAGGAAAACGCAGAATAAAAGTCTTGTAAACTCTTAGGCCTGGTCTACACTAACCCCCCAATTCGAACTAAGGTACGCAACTTCAGCTACGTGAATAACGTAGCTGAAGTCGACGTACCTTAGTTCGAACTTACCGCGGTCCAGACGCAGCAGGCAGGCTCCCCCGTCGACGCCGTGTACTGCTCTTGCCGAGCAGGATTACCAGAGTCGACGGCGAGCACTTCTGGGTTCGATTTATCGCGTCCAGACAAGACGCGATAAATCGAACCCAGAAGTTTGATTGCCTGCCGCCGAACCTGCGCGTAAGTATAGACCAGCCCTTAGTGTTCATGAAAAGGTTTACGACACCCCTGAAAGCTGTTCTATTTATCCTCAGAACAGGTACAACATGCCTCAGCGCTATGTGCCCAACTCATATACAAAGGGGCCAACTTATAGAGGAGAGAAAGTAATTCTATCTTCAGACTCCTTAAATGTTGGTCTTGGGGGTGGCTGCATGGTATTGACACAGTCCAGTAGGAACTGGACTGAGATTACAAACTCATTTCAGAGAGGCTGGATTCCAACTAGTGACCCAGAGGTTAAAAAGGCTGAATATTCCACTCCCTGTGCCATCAGATACCTTATATTTACCATTTTTAATCGCATCTTAATTCTGCAAAGGTTTACACACATACTTAACTTCATGAACAGCAAATAGTCCCATTGGCTTCAATGCATAAATTTCAGTTAAGCTTGTGGATAAACCTTTGCAGGATCATGGTCTCAGACTGTTAATTTTGCACAGTACAGATTTCAAAGATATATTCGACCATGTGAAAATTGTGAAACCACGTGAAATTTAAAAAGCTAACTTTACCAGAACAAACTAAATGCAGCACAACAAGGGAATTGAAATTCTAAGGTTGCTGGGAACTATAGTTCTGAATTCCTTTATTTTAGTAAAATCTCATATTTAATATTGCATTAATGTAGGTTTTTTAATCAATGGGTCAAATTTGGCCCTATTGCAACTCTAATTACTTCAATAGTTATGCAATGGATCCATTTGTGATGATGTTAGGTTCATTTAATTTTCATTTTTTTCACGTTATGTTATGTCTGAAGATTATACCAAGACTTTAACAAGAAAAATCTTTTATTAAAATTGCATTTGAAATGTACCCATGCCCTTTTGACTATTTGTTAGAGAAACAGGAGGAAATAAGCGAAGCTTGTAGACATCTGTATATCAATGTTTGGCATAGCTATATAATATATTTATAACCTTAAATATAGTGTTCATTCCCCATTAACATTATAACTAAAAATTAAATGAACCTAACATTGTAACAAATGGATCCATTGCATAATTATTGAAGTAATTAGAGTTGCATCAGGGCTTAATTTGGCCCATTGATTAAACCTACATTAATGCAATATTAAATATGAGATTTTACTAAAATCAAGGAATTCAGGACTATGGTTCTCAGCAATCTTAAAATGTCAATTCCCTTGTTGCAATAGGAGTCTTTCACCCAGATCCCATAATGCTTGTTTACTTGCTTACTTCATATTGTTTACTTGTTGCCAAATATTTGTTAAAGTAACATGAATTAAAAGACTTAAGATTAAAATAATTGAAAATGTGAATGTTGAAATTCTAACCTGCAGCATTATTTGTACAACACAATGACTTATATGCCACTGTTTTATAGTTCTGGTACAAAACAAAATCTGATATTTGAATACCCATTTTCACAGCAATACAGCATGTGAACTCTATGGACAATCCAAAATGTCTGAGCATGTTTGTGTGCACTTGGCAAGTGAGAACTAGGGAAGAGTTAATTATTTTGCAGGATATGAGAGTGAGATAAGAGATTGTAAGTATCCTTCAATCTGAAAGTGCATTTACTTCTTGAGAGCACACTACTAGTCAGAACATACAAACAGTAGTTACACAGGAGTCCATATTTGGGGTTGGGCTGTGCAGAGAGATAGACAGATTAACAAATGAAATGAGAGAACTGCATATGTTTTGGTGGGTTGGTTTTGGTTTTCTGAACAGTTTCTTAAAAGTTATGTGTTTCATGTGACGCGTACCTCACATCCATAGACTGAACCTCATCTGTTGAATCATCCATGCTGTTAGATTTCCCATCAATGGCACCCAGCTGAATAAGCCCCGTAACTGACTTAAGTCCGTTAGAAAATATATCTCGAGAAAGTG